TGGAACGTTTCAGATGAGTTTCATTTAACCTTTTACAATTTATTTGTTTCTTTTTAGTCTGCAGCATTTGCATATCGTTTCATTTTTAAATTCAAACTCTTCTAAGTTGTGTAATGTAATTTTTTGACTCCAAAAAATATATATTTGCACTGTGACGGAGCTCATTAATATTACAAAAGTGCCCAAAATAAAAGTGTTTATAACACTGTGTAAAGCAAATAAATATCTGCCACTTTGTTTTTGAAAATATATGTTGTTTATTGTGTGGGTGTAAATGTGCTTTGGTCAATTTCTATTATTATGTAAATGATATGCAAATTAGGCCGCCACAGTGGTTTAAATTCCTGGGGAGAACACTGGCAGCTACATGCATCTACGTCAATTTAGTGTATATGTATGTTGTTGATTAAGATACCCTTGCTCAAGATATACTTGACCAGCCTCTAGCATAAGCATTTTGTAGAAATTCAACAATCTATTTCAAACTAGGAGTATATACTTCTGATTCAGAAAACTAGCCTGGGCTTCTACAAAGTCTATTGCCGGCAGACAAAGCTGCCAAGGAACTCATCTAGTCCCATTAGACGTAAGTTGCCAATTATTAAGGGATCAGACAACGTCGATAAATTACGCGAAACAAATTGAATATACACAAATTACATTTTATATATCGTTAGTTGTCATGATAGTACAATTATACTTGAGAACTGTCACTGTAATAATAATGTTTCCATTTTCTTACCTCGACGGGATCTTTTGCGCTATTGTTATTTGCTTTCTTTTGAGGTTTCTTCGGCGTTTTACCTCTCCTTCAATAAATGCATACAAAAACAAATGAGTGTTTGTGACACCACCGAATTATGGAATATGTGACTAACAAACATTGAGATACTCACGTAGGCTTCATCATTATGGTTTATGGCAGTATTCGGCTACTTTTGTCAGTGTTTTTGGACACGATAGAAACACAGTTCAGAGAACGCAAAAGTCAATTCAAATTTCACCCCGCTTTCATCGACTGGTTTATTAGCCAATCACAACGAAGCTTTAAGAGAAAGGTCAAAGGTAGTAGTTGGGGCCCGAAAGGGCATATCGAAAGGGGTGTGATCGTTAAAATTGTTAAAAAATCATATTAAATCGTATTTTTTTACAATTACATTTATTCGAAAAACTAACCTATTTGAGGTTTGATGAATTAATCAACATCACGTCTTATAGCTTAGTGGGTTATGTTCTAAATTTAGAATTTGTGACCTTTTAAAAAGTAACTGTTAGATTTCAAGATCAGTACTTCGTTGCGTAGCGGTGATGCATTATATGATTTAATTTAATATATTTTATATTCAACGATATGCATAAATCTTATATTTAATATTAATTGTAAACAAATATATATTATTTTTATTATTTATCTAATGTCATACGAATCGGGGGTTATTGAAGTGAAGTACTTATAGTTTGTTTTGATCGTCAGGAAACTTTTGTAGCTGGGTACATGTATTACAAAGTACGATGGCTTTATGTGTGACAGAGTTTTCAGTGATGACACGGCAGTTACTGAGAACTGTTCATTATTCAATTTAAAAGGTAAGATTGTTTTAATGACAGCCTGTCGTTTTGCCCGCCGCTGTTTATCCGTAATTCGTGAATTTCACATTAGCGTCCGATGGTTGGGGTAGTGTATTTACCGCGAGCGCAAGATATTTACATACACCTAACTCCCGCACCCAGTAGGTAATTACCGAGGGACTTTGCAACACCCCAGACACTTTCCTAGACGATTCAGTGACCGTTGTAGACGCAATAAAGTTACATACACGCCTACGTGACAGTTAATCAAAAGGCAGAGCTCCAGAAGGAGTACCTACACTTTATGCAATTTTTTTAAAATTATGCTAATTTATTCATGACGTAGCAGTTTCTGTGCTCATGAATATTCATTAATTTGTGGGTCAATACATTTTAAAAGGGGCGATATATTATTTTGGGGGGAAGAGTTAGAAAGGGGGATTAGCAATCCTTAGGGGTCAATACAAAGAAGGACGCATTTGGAGAGCAGCCATGCTATTCGTGTCTGTGTGCATGTGACTACAGCT